ATCAACAAGGGTTTTAATCCATTGGGTTTGCACTTTGAGCTTTGCACTCCCCTTAAGGATCACCAAAACATTACCTTTCACAAAAAAATGAATTCTTTCTAATTTCTAATTTCTAATTTCTAATTTCTAATTTCTTCTTACCCAATGTGTTTTACATGTTGTGTTTGATAAGTAACATTTGATAGTTGCACAATAGACGCATTGTTACTCTACAAATAATCACATTACCTCATGAAGTGGTATCAACCAAAACATTGTATTTACTTTAAGTAACATCGAAAAATCATGTTTAATTGAAATACAAACAATTCTTCTATGCATAATTGAAATATAAATCATGTATTATACTTAAGTAAATATATGAAATAAATTCTATACTAATTATCTATTTTATGAAAAAAAAAATTATAATTTTATTTTTTCACTATATTTATTGTTAACCATTTTTTGCTTTTATCACCAAAATAAAAGATTTTGTAATAATTATTTCAAATTTATTATCATCATTTTATCTTTAATAATCGTTTCCTCATTTAAAAATTAATTATCAGCATACACATAATTAATAAAATAGTTATAATAACAATTATATTTTTCATTTACTTACCAAACCAAAGTTAATATTGATTAATTTAAATTACCTTATTCTATTATTTATTTAAATATTAAAAATTCTATAATTTAAATTTTTTCACTCTTCTGAAAAAGTTTTCCAAAAATAAATATAAAATTATGAATACTAGATTTCGGTCTTTCAGAAGTAGAATTTGAACCTATTTTTCAATAACTGAAATTACTGTCTAAAACTCATAATTCGCTCTCCTGATACTCCGATCTTGAACTTTCACAGTAAAATATGCAATCATGTAAATAATGTGTACTATCCTATTGCGGAAAATTAAAAAGAGAAACAATGATACAAAGTGAAAAATTCGAAAATTGTCTAATTGTACGGATATCTTTTTGGCAAAAATCATGAAAATTGTAATCCATTAATGCTGTATGATTTCTGTTAGGTCCTTTTCTTTTTTAACCAGTACAAAGCAGACAGCTTCTTTCGTACAAATCTTTAGTAACATATGCTATTCCGAACCATAACAATAAATAATAATACTATAATTATTATCATTATTAGTAGGGTTTGAGATTCACGTCACTAAATATCATTTTAATTTAAACTATATAAATAAAAGTTAACTTTACTTCATTAAGTCAGTTTGTAAAATAAAGTAAATTTAAAACCATTTTCTGACATAGTATATAAGAGTTATTTATATTTGAAATTAAAGTTTAGGTTTATGGTGTCATTCTTATTAGTTCTTTCCATTCTTATAATGGATGTCTTTTATGAGAAGAGTGTATTACAAATCCATATTAACTACTTATTTTAGTAATACTTGTGCATTTAAACGAATTCAATTTAGGAAATTCATTGAAACAAAAGAGATATTAAAATACAAAAGTTTCAAGATATATCTACAAAGACATTCAAGTCGACTATAAGAGTTAAAATCGCATCCTTACGAAATATGGATCCGTTTTACCAATTTGTCCAACCTTCTTTCCATTTTTTCACACATTGTAACGTGAATTATATATATATATATATATATATATTGAATAAGATCAAGACAATCTTAAATCTATAATTACCATTTAAAGTGAAGACATTTTTTTACTTGTTTTTCACAAATATAAGTATCAAATTCTAAACTTTATCTTAAATGAAATTTAATTTAACCATTTAAAATTAATTTGTAAAGTAAAATATAATATAATATAGATTTGTTTTATTTATAATTAATATGAGTTGTTTAGTTTGATTTTCTTATATTAAGTATATACTAATGAAAATTTTGTTGGGAAATCTGAACGTGAGTCTAAGTCTCACATTGGATAGAAATGAGAAAGTAGTTATATATAAAGGTGAAAGACCTATTAACCCATTGTCTTAAGGTTTTGGGTAGAAAGTGGTGTCAATCCCTTATATGATTGGACTCAGACGTCATGATGTTTGTTAAATCTCCCAACTATATATGTTTGTGTCAATAACAATCTAATAAATTTGATTAAAATGTATTTTTTTAATGACTAACTTTTTATATTTAAAATCTTAGACGTGTAAAATGAAATTTAGAATGATTTATATAATGTAAATCATTATATAAATCGTGAATTAAAGTTGGGTGACATAAGGCGAAATCGTGAATGATTGAACGTAGATAAGGTTGAAGCGTTTGATTTTGTCCACTATATCTAGATACCGTCCATGGTGAAAACTGGCATCAAGTACTGAGTACGATGGCATCTTGTGAAACCACGGTACTAGCGTGCTACCTCATGTCAGCACCACATGTTGTGCCCATAACAGTACTGTTACAACTTTTTATCATTTATACCACAAAGATTCTATCACAATAATTCCTTTCATCACTTTCGCTCTTTAATCCCACAATAAACATCATCATTTACTCAAACTAAATGCAACAAAACTTACGTTACACAACATCACAAAGGACAACCCAACAGTTTCCCACTGCTCGTGTCTGTTGGAAACGTCAATTTTCCTCTTCCATGTGAAAAAAATAAAATAAAAACTCTGCTATCTAGGGTCTACCCTTGGCTACTGCATTGAGTACTTTACACCATGGGGATAACATATATAAAATGCAATGGACCAGTAGTTCTCACTCTATGCATGTAAATCAATGCTCAATCTTACTGCAACAATCAATAAAGCTAACTACGACACAGACAGAGACAACAACTACCTAATTCCACTCAACATCTTTTACTTATGTAGTTATGTTTCGTCTGCACTTCTCTCTCTGCATATAATTGTTGTGGTGGCAGTGAAAAATAAGAGCTCGTCTTTTTCTTCTTTATATTAGTTTTAAAACTACAAACACAAGGCTTTCCTCCACAACTTCTTATTCTCATTGAAACTCTGCATATCAACCCACCTTTTGGAAATTATTATGCATTATTAACATATACGTGTGTATTTATTTAGTAAGTCAACAAACAGTTTGTTCAAAATCCTATGTCGATAAAACTTTATCTAAGAGAGACGGTACCAATAAAACTCGAACTCAACTCAAAGAATTTGACGTTACTTTTAATCAAAACCTTAAAATAATGGATTTATGAGTCATCTATTCTTACTCAACTTTCTTAATTTTGTTAAATATGAAACTTAAGTTCATATTTGAATTCCTAACCATTTATGTAAGGTGAAATCATTCTTATNTTTTATATTTAAAATCTTAGACGTGTAAAATGAAATTTAGAATGATTTATATAATGTAAATCATTATATAAATCGTGAATTAAAGTTGGGTGACATAAGGCGAAATCGTGAATGATTGAACGTAGATAAGGTTGAAGCGTTTGATTTTGTCCACTATATCTAGATACCGTCCATGGTGAAAACTGGCATCAAGTACTGAGTACGATGGCATCTTGTGAAACCACGGTACTAGCGTGCTACCTCATGTCAGCACCACATGTTGTGCCCATAACAGTACTGTTACAACTTTTTATCATTTATACCACAAAGATTCTATCACAATAATTCCTTTCATCACTTTCGCTCTTTAATCCCACAATAAACATCATCATTTACTCAAACTAAATGCAACAAAACTTACGTTACACAACATCACAAAGGACAACCCAACAGTTTCCCACTGCTCGTGTCTGTTGGAAACGTCAATTTTCCTCTTCCATGTGAAAAAAATAAAATAAAAACTCTGCTATCTAGGGTCTACCCTTGGCTACTGCATTGAGTACTTTACACCATGGGGATAACATATATAAAATGCAATGGACCAGTAGTTCTCACTCTATGCATGTAAATCAATGCTCAATCTTACTGCAACAATCAATAAAGCTAACTACGACACAGACAGAGACAACAACTACCTAATTCCACTCAACATCTTTTACTTATGTAGTTATGTTTCGTCTGCACTTCTCTCTCTGCATATAATTGTTGTGGTGGCAGTGAAAAATAAGAGCTCGTCTTTTTCTTCTTTATATTAGTTTTAAAACTACAAACACAAGGCTTTCCTCCACAACTTCTTATTCTCATTGAAACTCTGCATATCAACCCACCTTTTGGAAATTATTATGCATTATTAACATATACGTGTGTATTTATTTAGTAAGTCAACAAACAGTTTGTTCAAAATCCTATGTCGATAAAACTTTATCTAAGAGAGACGGTACCAATAAAACTCGAACTCAACTCAAAGAATTTGACGTTACTTTTAATCAAAACCTTAAAATAATGGATTTATGAGTCATCTATTCTTACTCAACTTTCTTAATTTTGTTAAATATGAAACTTAAGTTCATATTTGAATTCCTAACCATTTATGTAAGGTGAAATCATTCTTATGTTATAAGTTAATTACGTGAGAATGAGTTAATCTTAAATTTAACTTATAATACAGCTATTTCAAATATAACTTTTGAAGCAGAAAGAAGATGTTAACATGTTAGTTAAAAAGTTTTGGGTTTAAATATTGTAAAGAGAAAGACATGTTGGAAATATAAATGTGAGTCTAAGTTCTACAATGAATAAAAACGAGAAAGTAAAACACTTTGACTCATATCTCATTGTTGTTTGTATCTTCCTTGAAGCTCCTTCTCGTCCTTCTCGATAGACAGAACAAGTGATATACACAAGAGAGAGGAAGAGACTTCCTAAAAGAAACTAACTAGATTCTTCAATGAAAATTTATCATCGACAAACTAATAGGTATGTTTTTAAGGTTAAGCCTAGATCTATAGAATAGTAGTTTTTAAATCTATTTGAATTAAATTCTTATTTTGATTATTGAGAGTGTGTGTACTAGGTAGTATTGTTGTAAAAATATTTTGTAATTAGAAAGGATATTAAGGAAAGGGTTGGGTAGGCATGTGATGATGAGCATGGTATGAGAAAGAGATGAGAAATCAGAATAAGAAGAAGAAAGTAAGAAGAACAAACAAAAGCAAAATCGTGTTCTTCCAATTTGTAATTCCTTGAGTACCAATGGTAATGCGTTTGTGATGGACGCGCCATGAGCACTATCACTTTCAACACAACATTCATTGAAAAAAAAGAATAGTAACTGCAAGAACTGAGATTTAACCTTTTCCTCTATTAGCTCATCATTAAAGACAAAAACATTTCCAACACCCTTCTCTCTGTGCACTATTCCTCTACCTTTATGCTTACACAAGCACACAATTAACAAAATATGAAGCCTGTGGTCCACACCCTTCTTTTCTTCCCTTCTGCTTCCTATAAACTCCCTCTTTCACTTCATTGCTCCCAAAAAGTTCTTCCTCTGCAACAACAACACCCTTTTCACCATTCTCCACCCTTTTGCACACAATGGAGGCCAGGACTCTGGAGAGGAAGAGATCACTGCTTGAGAGGGTCAGAAAGAATGTGGAAGAGGAACTGGAGAATGAAGTTGAGGAGGAGGATGAAAGTGGAGCTACTCTCACTGAAGAAGAGAAAAAAAGAGGGCTTGGTAGCAGCAATAGTGGTGGTGGGAGAAGAGGGTCAAGTGGGGCTGCTGCTGCTGCTGCTGGAGGAGTTTCTCCACCTTCATGTCAAGCAGAGAGGTGTGGTGCTGATTTGACTGATGCAAAGAGGTACCATCGCCGCCACAAGGTCTGTGAGTTTCACTCCAAAGCACCTGTTGTGGTGGTTGCAGGTCTGAGACAGAGGTTCTGCCAGCAATGTAGCAGGTTTGTTCGATCAACACTCATTCATCTTAACCATTTTCTCTTCAGAGAAAACTTGTATTGTCTATAGCATTTTACCATGCATGGTTTTTTAAGCTAACAGTTATGTTTTTTGTACTAAAGGAATCGTTAGCTCTAGCAACACCTTGGCTTCGACATATTCATATTTCAACTGCATAAATTTAGTTTCTCAGCTTTCCTCAACCATGGTTGTTAATGATCAGAAAAATTTTGTTCACTTATTGCAATTTAAAATTTTTAAGGGACCCTTTTACAAGTAAATATAATCCTTGATCAATGACTAAAAAGTTTTGGATGCTCCTAAAGAATCTATCCGCAACAGAAACACTGTTTTAAGTAATTGAACCTCATTGTTTACACCTTTTCCTTTTGTTAGTTTTTGTACACAGAAGTGTCAAACAGTTAAAACTCGAAGCTTTTCTTCCTATGATGAGTTTGTGCAGGTTCCATGATCTGGCGGAGTTTGATGAGTCTAAGAGAAGCTGCCGGAGGCGGTTGGCCGGACACAATGAACGGCGCCGGAAAAGCAACCCTGAGGCTGCCAATGAGAGCAGCAGCAAAGGCCATCACCACCCTAAGGAAACAACACAGTGCAGAATTCAGATGAACCTTCCAGGGAGTTCTGGCTACAAGTCTTTCAACATCAGATGAAGCAAAAATGTTCACCAAGCTCTCTCTCTTCTGTCACCCTTTGGTTTCTTACAAGCCAAGTCATATAATAAAAGGACCACTTTGTCTGTTCACATGAACAAGAACCAAACCAAAACAAACTTCCAACATCCAAAGCTTCTCTGCTATATATGCAATGCAAGCCACTTTCCTCAGCTCTATGTTCTCTTATTTAGATAGTGCCTTTAGTTTCTGTTTTCCTTACCATTGTTATCCTATTGAAGCACCATTGCATGGTGAGATCTTATCTTCCATTGGATTAAAATAAAAAGCTATTGCATCTTTGTATTTGGATTATCTCTTTTCATAAACAAACCATTTAAGTTCTACATTCTGTTTGAAACTTGAGTAAGATACATTTTATATTTAAAAAATCTATTTTGGGTGTATTTTATTTCCATTTTCTCATATCAAACTTTAACCTCTGAATACTGTCGAGGAAGTCATAAAATGAATTAGTAACTGAAAAGGGGATCAAACACTGAAAGAAAATAGATATACGATGATTTGGTCTTTAAAAGATGTTGCTTAAGAAAATTAAGGTTTTGAAAATGTTAACACTGCTAAGAAAGAGTAGTGTGTGTAGATGAAGTTTTCAAAGATTATGTAAGATGGGGTTGGTTCATTCCGGGACAAAATTGTAATTTCAGTTCTCTGTTGTGTCATGATCAAGTGTCTTGGCTTTGCCTACCCTCTATCCTTTAGGTCGAGGGATGTTGGCAACAGTCATGTCCGGTTTGTTCAGAAAAGGTTTCACTGGTACAACAAAATATTTAGTGTTGCCCAATAAAAATAAATAAAAAGAGTATAATATACAGATACAATACACACTCGATTGAAATTTTTGGGTTAAATATGTTTTTAGTCCCTAAACTATTGATCGTTTCTGGTTTTCGTCCCTCTTCCAAAGTAAGGTACAATTTAGTCCTCAATCTTTAAAAAACGTTCGTTTTAGTCGAAAAAACGAACGTTTTGAGGACTAAAACGAGGACTAAAAACAAAATTTTGAGGACTAAAACGAACGTTTTTCTAAAGAATGAGGACCAAATTGTACCTTACTTTGGAAGAGGGACGAAAACCAGAAACGGCCAATAGTTTAGGGACTAAAAACATATTTAACCCGAAATTTTTTAACGGTCTTCTTGTTCATTAAAGGTGTGTTTCAAAGGATTAGAGAAGAAATAATGTGTATTTTTCATTCTCTAATCAGTTGAGGACCTCAAAAAGATGAAAATTTATCTTTTGAAACGAAAATTTCATTCTCTTGGATAATAACAAGTTGAGATAAAAATAGAATAACGATACTTTTCACTCTCTATTTTCTTTAAAAATATAAAAATTAACCTTTATTAAGATTGTTTTACTTTTAAAAAAGATGTTAAATGATAGTCAAATATTATCAAAGAATTTTTCTTTATAAAAAAATTATATGAATAGATTAATTATTATATCTAAAGTATGGTCCTCAATTTTGGAACATAAAATTTCTTTCCGATTTTATTCTTAAAAAATGTTTTAAAGTATTAAAAGAAGAAAAATAAATTATCATTAATATTAACTCTTAATCAATGTAAAAATGTATGAAAACATAAAGTAAATTAAGTTTATAAAAGTTAATGCAAATAAAAAACTAACCAACTATTTGTCTATGCATGCGTGTTTAACAGTCCCAAATGGATAAAACCAACAAAATGGCTACAAGTGAAATTTCGAAAAGGAGAGATTTTGCACAAACTCCATTGCAATCATACAAATTATTTTTCTTAATACAATCCAAATCTACATCCTTTTCACATTGTTTCATCAAACATGAACAGAAAATATTGCACACGGAATGCTATAACATGCAATAACACCACAAGGGTGTATCATCATTTATCCAAATATACACTTTCAAGTTCTACTAATTGAGTCATTTGATCACTGAAATTTCACAACAACACAAGAGATATCATCTGAGCTTTTCCTGTTACGTGCTTCTTCAGTAAGGATCTTTGCTGCAGAGCGAGCATCCTTAACATCTCTGATTGCATCAACTGCTTCTTGATTTGTCATCACCTTCAATAATTTCAATGAATATTATGATGATCAGTGCAGAATATGCAAGGAACTTGGAGTGTAGAAGACCAAAAAAATACATTCATTAGTTGTTGAGAATCTTATCTTGTTTAGTTTATTGAATATTACCTTCCATAACCCATCACTGGCTAAGATAACAAACTCTGCATCATCGCCTATCAACTCCACAATCACATGTGGTTCTGAGCTCAAGTGTACCTTCAGGCTTTTGTCACCGAATGCCCTTGACACTGCCAACTGACCATCAACTCGTGGCACGTCCCCTGATTCAATCAGAAAACCAGTATCCTTAGCACTGAATTAGCAAATGAATGTAGGGATTTTCCTAGGGAAATAGACCAGAAAAACTGAGACATGAATCAATCATATAAGAGATCAATATACTACATTTAATCCAAAACCTTAAGAATCTTTTTATCGTTATAAGTTACTCAACTTAACTCAACTTTCTTATTTCTATCGACTTTTAACTCATTTTTTGTGGATCATATATCATGATACCTTCAATCAAAAACCTTAAAAATGTGTCTGGTCCTTTTTTTGTTATGTTACTCAACTTTTTAACTCATTCTTTGTGTCAGAGATCATGAGTATCTTTAATTCAAAACCTTTAAGACATAAGACTATGTCTGTGAGTATCATGTCAATGCAAAGACTGTATTTTCAAGTCTTTCTTTTTCTTTTTTTCTTTATATATTACTCAACTTTCTTATTTCCATGACAACTCATTCTTGGATTTCAAAGACACTCTTTACATACTATTACCAACAACTTCTTTTAAAATGTGTATTTACAAAATATGTCATGATAAAGATAGCACTGTAATAATATAGAAGTCAGATGTTTGTATCGCATGCAAGTATAGGAATGTTCAGTATTATTCTGTCAAAAACAATTGCTTCCTTTGAATTCCTTATTTATGGAAATCATTGTTAATAAAAATGTCTAAGTGATAAAGGACAAAATTGATTTTCTAAGGACTGAAAGACTTCTGTTAGAAACAAAAAAACTAAAAGCCAACAATTTTATATTTTGAGAATATGTAAACATCAAACCTTAATAACAAGGACATAAGAAAAATCATTAAAAACCACATGCTAACAAGTAAAACTAAAACCTCGGATAAGGGGATGATGATATTGTGAAACACTAAATTAAGATGAAGGTAAAAAACCATACAACATTTTAAAAGGTGATTGGTACCTGGGAAGTTTGACACAAAACCACCTCTGTTTTTTATATCCTCACTTTCTACACTTGGCTCATGATCCACTGATAGTTGTTTGGCCTGGCCATTCTGGCACAAGACAGCCCTGGAATCTCCAATATTGGCCACTACTAACTTCTGACAGTTGATCAATATTGCGGTAACTGCAGTTGAACCCCCTCGACCCAGTTCACCTGATTTGTCTAAAATAGTAGAATCAGTTATACTATATGCCCTCTTCACAGCATCAGCAGGTTCTGTCCAGAAGTTAGGCTACATGAAGAAATGGGGAAAACCTGAGTCATAGACATGCATTGTATTTAAAGAGTTTTATTTTGGGTTAAATATGTTTTCTGTCCCCGTACTATTATAAAAAATTCTATTTCATCCTTAAAATAAATTATAAAGTATTTAGTCCCTATATTTTATGAAAGTGTAAAACATCCTTTTCAACAAAGGACATGTGGAGTGTTTCCTGAGTTCCATAGTAAACTAAAATATAACCTTCACATGCAGTTTGTTAGCAAGAATGTTTTACATTACTCTCATAAAGTAAAGAGACTAAACAATTTTTCATAATGAAAAACATATTAACCATTTAATTTTTAATACTAACATTTTTCATGTTGATAAGTAACTAGAAATTTAAAGTAATTATACAACAGATTATGTTTCACACCAAGCAGCTCAATGATCAAGTAACAAGAACTAAAGATTATGAACCCACATTACCTCTTTCAAGATGTTATCAAACAAATGAGTTTTCAAGTAATCAGGCACACTTTGACCTGAGTGGCCATCGAATATAGCAAATAAACCCAATTCATTGTTATCAACTTGCTTAAACTGAGCAACGACATAGTCTTCCATGGCATGACCAGATCTTCCCTTTACCAAGTGAAAGCCATGAGTAATGTGCTTCTTCATCTTGCTCTTTCCTTTACCTGAATCAGAATCAGATGGCCCCAAAACTTTTTCCTGTAAGTAACATAATCAGGTTACAAGACATTCACAACCGAAAAAATAAGAAATTTAGTTATTGATCAAATGAGAATCAGGTCAGTGAACTTTTGAACTCATCTTACTCCAAGAAAGACAAACATAAGCAATTTATCGAACAAAGTTGTATTTCTTGAAGCTTTGTGTGATTGTTAATTTCTAAGACACTACTCAGCTGGATTTCAAAAATTAATAGCTAAGGGCATCATTTACCAAAGCTTTTTCAAAACTAAATTCAGGATGATGTGTCTTAAACACATTCTTTTATCTTCTCAAATAACTAACTGTGTACACTATACGAAATATTATCTTTGCAAACAATAACAGACTTGTAAAGCGCAAGAAGTCATTAATTATATTGTCATTTTAAATTTTGACTTTAAACAACCTCAATTTACCCAAAAACCATATAATAATTTTCCCTGAATTGTATTTGCCTATAAAAACACACCTAACTAGAACTAAACAACAAGACTGTACTGCATTCTTAAGACCATGTTAGTCTTAAACACAGCATAGCATAAATCTGCTTAATTCATATTAGGAAGCTGGATTTAACAACTGGCAGAGATGATTTTAAGGGAAACCGTCCCATCATAAGGGCTACAACTGACTTTTCCCATTCCTCGTGTGTTCCAGGTCAAAAACACAAACTGGGGTATTGGACCCGTGATTCACCCTCCAACAGTCATTTGATTCTGAAGTTACAGATCACCACACAAAAGTTGATGATCTTTTCTAACCTCTGTGACAAGTAACCTCCCAACCATCTTCATTAACCAACCAACTTAAGACCTAAAATATGATCGTTCACACACTATAGCACAATATATGTTGCAGCAAATTGACCAATACTCTAAAACCTTGGAATTGTTATGCCATATAAACCTGCCCTGCAATTACAAAGATTATAAATGGAGCCACCGAGAGGTATTGTAGGCCATCAAGTTAATTCGGTGGCATAAATTTTCACGTAGATGTTGATAAATTAAGGTTCCTAGGTAGAAGAATATCTGCTAGAGCTTCTCTGTTGAGAATATAGAGCTTTTTTCTGATAGAAAAATTCTCAAAAGTTCTTCTATCTTTGTATCCAGATAGAATCTCATTATTTGACTCTTTGCTAAAGGATACTTAAAAGTTCATAAGAACAAACTTACGATCACCAATTACACAGGTTATATCACCAATCAACGATGACCCAGTAACAGTCATTTTTCCTTTAAGATGGTCTTAACCTTAAAATCTAAGGTATACATAGCACATTCCCTATATTCAACTCTCAATGAATTATCACTTAAGGGTAAGATAGCTCATGTATATAATTCAACTCGAAAACAATTAGAACTTTAGGACTTAAATTGTTAAACGATAGAAAATTACTAACAAAATTATAAAGGATAGACTCTGATATGATATATATTAGGGAATTTAAGCCTAATTGGGTTCATAGAAGTGTATATTTCGAATTTTTAAATCGGTATTATCTCTACTTCAGATAAATCTCCAATAAAAAGAAGGCACTGTTGGAGTTAATGAAGAAAGCGCCACAGTAAAACTACATTCCCTACCACGAAAGGCATGGAATAAAATTACAGGGTTTATGAAAAGCAGTCCACTGAACTGATAGACAAAGATCAACACCGACAAATGAACAGAAACCAAATTGTTAGTCATTGCAACGAAACAAAAGAGAGCAAAATGAAAAAAAAAAAAAAAAAGAGATGCTTAAATAAACTAGAGCAACGAAAGGTGAAAAAACAAAAGGGTACCTTCATCTTGTGAAGGATTTCTTTGCCGGTCATAGTGAAGGGCTTAAATAAAGATTTAAAAGGAAAGTGAGAGTGGCCACGTAGAGCAGGGTGTGGTGTTTTTTATGTATATTTTTTAGTTGACGCAATGAGGGAGAGAGTAAGAAGAAGACAGAGAAGCGAAGAGGCGAAGAGGTGAAGAGGCAGCGAAGGAAGAAGGGATTTTGAGGAAGAAAAAGGAAAAAAGGAGAGTGAGATTTGCTGTGTTGTGTTGTTTTGTGAAAGTTGATCATGTCGCGTTGACACGACTTCCTGTTACCTCCCAATACCATGCCGCGTACGTCGCAATTACAATGACGCGTTCGCGCCTACACGTGGCGTCGTCTCGTTGATCAGTTTTCTCCGTAGGGCTTCGCTTTCTCTGCTTTTGAGTTAATCATTAATAAAGTACGGTCTTATCAAGTTATCGTCTTCAGAAAAGCAAAGCAATGAAAAAGATAAAATGAAAAATAATATATATATATATATATATATATATAATTATTTATTTCCAGCTTGGTAGTATTTAAATATCTTGAAAACGGAGAATTAATTTTCTACGTAACAACTCAATTTATTAATAAATTGCCTGACAAGAAAGTGAGAAACTAAGAAATAAAAGTATTTTCTGTTATTTGCTTAAGGGAGTTCTTTATGTATGCACAAACATATTTTTAAAAATATTATCATTGTATCTTTATCTCTTTTATGTTTTATTAGTTAAAATACATATACAGTTACATATTCTTTAATATATATTTGTCTCTATTTCACTTAATAATAATACATAAATAAATAAACAATTATTACTAAAATAAAAATTGGACTAAATTTAATAACACTAGTACAAAGATGTTTGTGATATTGACGTAGTAATAGAAGAAGCAGTGACAATTTTAAGGATGAACGTTATAATTGCAAAATTGCAAAATGACAATGATTTAAGAAATAATTGTTGTTATATGTTTGAAAAAATGACAATGATTTCTTGTAAAATCGTTGTTATTTTCATTTTCAGGTTAAAAGAATTAACCTTTGTACTTTCTCGTTTAGCTACAATATCTTTTTTTTTATTCTCGCCATCGACACATAGTGTTTTCTAATCAATTCAAAGTTATTTTGAGTCATTTTTTCATCCACGTTGGTTGTCACTCATGGAGTGTCCTTTGCTTTTTGAAGCACACCTTGGACGTTTTTCGCTATGCAAGAAGTCACCGTTGCCGTCGTCGATATTGGTCGTCTTTGGAGTGACAATGGTGACACAGGCCTTGGACACCCTTTTTTTCAATACAGTTGTCATTGACAATTGCTAGTTCTATTAGCATCAGATCATACCTTGTATGGTTTTAGTTCTTTCATAGTCATACTTCATCTATAAACGTTATTTCAAAAACATCGTTTAGAGAACTAACTCAATTTTCTTTAAGGATATTTAAGCAGTAACTCATCAAAGATGTAAATGATAGCTCAAAGCCTAAAGTTGACTTGAGCACTAAGAAAGATTCCTTTTATCAAGAGTTAGTCATTTACTAATAGGACTACAACACACAAACAATTTTTATATTGGTTCACCTATTAAGGCTACATCTAGTTCTCCTTTAAACTAATTTAGAGGGTTCCACTAAATTTTCAATGAAGTTCAGATGAGTATTTTAAACCACTCTTGGTGTTCCTAATCGTATTTACCATCATTACTTCTGACTCGTTGAGTTCGACTCACTCTTGATTGCGTAATATTATTCACCACTCTTGGTATCCCTATATGGTTCCAATATCATTGTGATACATCGTCTAGTTGAGTATCACTCACTTCTAGTTTTGAAGTATTTTTCACCACTCTTAGTATCCCTAATCAACAATTAACCTCCAATTATCCTAGACCAGTTGAGTATTCGCACCACTTTTGGTTTCTCAGTCAATAAGTAGTTGTTAATTACCCTTGACTGGATGATTATTCGCACCACTCCTGGTATCCCTAGACAGTCCTAGTATCCATTGACATCGCCTAGTTGAGTTTCACTCACTCCTAATTGTGTAATATTCTTTACCACTCTTGGTATCCCTAGTCAGTGAATAACCTTTTGTTACCCTAGACTAGTTGAGGATTCACATTACTCTTGGTACTAAGCAACCTTGCCTAGATTTCTTTAACTCTCCGAAGTGAAGTTGTAAGTATTTTGATTCTCTCCAAAATTGCAATTAATGATTGCTTACAAGTCATTTAGACTATTACTCTTATAGAGAAGATGTGATTAAAATACAAAGTAGTCTAAACACTCACATGTGTTTTTCTTCTTACTCTATTATCTCGTCTTATAAAGTAAGCAAATAGTACAATGAAGCTCAATAGTATTTTTTTTTACTTGTTTCATCTTATTTTTCATGAGTTGAAAATTTAATTTTCATGAATTTGTGCTTTCACAAATTTTTTGTTTCTTTCATGAAACCTTCTTCCTTAACCGTGTTTGGATTGATCAAATGATCAAAACACTCTTATCTTTTTAAGAAGTACATCAAATAGAGAATTAAATTTAAAATAAATTGAAGTCTTAAGAGAAATAAAAAACATGCACTATTCTTCTTTTAATTTTCCTATCACACTAAAGATGAAAAATTAAAGCTAGTTACACGTTCACTCATTTTATATAATTTGCTTGTGCATGTAATTTCTTACTAATTGAACTCAAATTTAAAGAAATTATATCTAATTTTATAATCTAAGAAATTCAAGATTCCTTAACAATTTATCTTATAAGAATATGTCTCACGCATAAAACAAACACTAAAAAGAACTCAATCATTTTTTTTTCAAAACAAAAAAGTAGAATAGAAAAGAAAATTAAAACAGAAATCACTTCCAAAAAGAAGTCACCCATTTAGATCTTACAAAAAATTAGATTACAATTAAGTTTGAAATTAACCCATGCAAGGCATTTTTCTTCACTTTTTGACAATGCGCAATCAGTGAATCATACTATGAAAGCCAGATGGCACCGACTGGTTCCAGCTAAGTGCGTTTTCATTTTCCAAAATGCTAGAGTTTGCTTTGCTTGCAGCAAATTCAACCATCTAAATTATTCAATTCAATGATGCAATAGTTGATATTCTCCACCGATATTCCAGGTGATAAATACTATCTTAAATAGATGAATAACAATTTATATATACATAAAATTAACCTAAAAGATGAATATGAATTTATATATATTATATATATATAATTATTTTAGTAAGAAATTTTTGAAGTAATATAATAGTAAATCCGGGAGAAAATTTTTGAAGAGCTCTCCAACAAATTGAACACATCGGCTGCTTGTCACGATCAAATCAACATGATAAAATGATTCTACCGCTTGAATTTCATAACCTTACTAGAATTATTCGCAAATCAAAGATCGAAAGATGCTTACACTGATTCCGCTGAACAGATTACGTGTTGCTTCCAGAAATTCAATCACCGCTTCAACAGAGAATGAACTTCAATTGCCCACGCAAGAACTTCAATTGCGCCACGCTACACTAAACTCAGAGCACTTCACACAGTGTTGAATCGAATGGACTAGACATTGCTTGCACCGAGAAATTAAAAATTTAATTCACAAACAAAATCTTACGTTTTGAGTGTTTGACGTACGCGATTAGTCAGCACTGCAATAACAAAAGCTCCTCCAGCACCGCTTGCAGATCTTCAGCTGCACGCCACCGTTTCTTGCACGCTCAAATCCAATGAAAATCGCTTGCTTCAACAGCTTCCAATATTTCCACAGTATCACACGAATTGTACCGCACACTGAAATTCTGAAATTTGAAATTCAGTTATTGCGGTTTAGCAGAACCCAGCGCTAATTCTCCCATGATTTTCTACTTTAAAAATTATACAAATTCAATTCACATTTGAAAGCTTCACCGGAATAAATGGATAGTGATTTTTTTTTTAAATGGTAAGAAAATGTCAAATTTATCAAAAGATTTAGAACTTTGATAATCAAAATGATGAGTCCTAATCAATGATTAGGAAGAAAATATAATGTTTAATAACTTTTACTGAATAACTAAGAATAAAAAATAGGAAAGGTGATAAGAAAATAAACAAAACCTCACAATCATAAATTATTAATAAGTGGAATAAGATCCATCTCCTTTAATCAGAAATTCAAAGATAAAAAATTAGAAGCTATTGTACTCAATAATTCATAAATAACAGACTTTTAACAAAATGAGAGTATTCAAAATTAGTATTAGCTTTAACAAAAAATTATCTGTTAATGAGATGAGACTTAGCTAATTAAAATATAGCGTTCGTAAAGTTTCTAATTAAAAATATTTAAATAATTACAATAGTCCTATTATAAAATATAATTCTTATCAAGTTTTAAGTTTTTTTTTGTCTTTAATTCAGGCTTATCAAATTCACTCTATCATTGATAAACAATGGGTAGCGTGAAATATATAACAGAAAAATAAAAGAGAATCTTAGAAGAAATTGTTTCACCCTCAAAATGGTCCATAATCTAACAACCATCTTAGTTATTGACTTCTTTATGTAAAACACATTTTCCATAGAAATTATGAACTCTTTTGGAATCCAAATTTTTACATCTAATTCATACGAACCATCTAATAATTTTGATGATATATAATACTTAAAAAAAAATGTGAAATCATATAACAAATAATTTTTCCGTAATATGTTATAGTATCTAAAAGACTTTTAAGATCTATGTTTTTGTTTTATATCAGATTACCTATAAGACTTTGTATAATGTTATAGTCTAATACATTAAATTAATTTCTACTAGATTTTTTATGTTAACTTATTATAGCAGGTGAAATCCAACTATGATATAATCATAAAAGGTTGATCAATAATATTTTCATAATAAAAGTAATACATATTATATATGATAGGTTAAAGAGTGTCTATATAGAAGGATATGATGACAAAATTGAAATTGATCAAAACTTATTATAACAAGTTTAGGAAGACTTTTCATAGTAACTTTTATTATGATGATTAGTTCATTACATGTCATAATAGACGCGCTAGTAAAATTAAAATTATATTTAAAACCTATTATGACAGGTCTAGTAATACCTGTCATAATAATAGTTATTTACTATGATTGTCAGTAAACCACCAGTCATAGTAGGTTCCAATTCCTAATTTTACCAATTAAATCTCTTCGTACACATTTTTAGACTTCTT